TTTTTTACAACGAGCGATAGGCATATTAAATAAGTTTTAAAGTCAATTTCGAAAAAAAAATTTTTTTTCCTTTATTAAACTTATTGCATTTGGGTTTCAGTCAGCACCAATTATTGATTAAATGTTGCCAATACTTCTTAAAAAAAAAAAAGTAAAAATAAAAAGACAGAGGTAAAAATCTAGAAGCAACTTTATCTATGTGCAGTTTATTAGACTATTTACACGCTGTAACAAATCATATTGGTCAACGTCAACATCACTAATCTTTTAACTCGGTCTTACATTTCAATTAAGCACAAAAATCTGCGTTAAACGATTTTTTTCTGTTAATCTAATTTCTTTTTCTTTTTTTCTTGCAATTATTATTATCGGTGACTACAGTAGTTATTCGTTTCCTATTCTGTACTATTCGCGGAAATAATACTGTCTATATCGTATACCTGAATAAATAAACAAAGGAAAAACACTTTTTTACAACTCTACAATAGTGCTATGTTTCAGAAAAAAAATTCTTCTTTTTGTTGTGCAGCTATGGGGAACACCAAATCTAGCGAAGAAGAACCAAGCAAGGAACCTCGTGGTTCTGTGCTAAAAGACAAGATTAAATATCAGAATGGTCGACGTGTATCCAAGGTGGCTAAACTCTCACGGTAAGTTAAATAAGAATCAGTTTATTTGACTCTTTAATCATTTTTTTGCTAGCCTAACTATTAACGTAGAAAAAACAATGTAGTTAAGTCTCTAATGTTAATATCAATAATTAAATTAGTAATTTAAATTTAAAACGAGTACGTAACAAAAAAATATCAATAAAAGTGTCGGTGTTTAAAAAACAGAATGTAGCAAATATATCCAAGAATTTTTCAATTGTTAAACCAAAAAGATTACCATCGAAAACAGGCGGAACAATGATGGTCTTTAGAGGGCAATAATGATAAAAAGAATATTATTTCTGCTGTTTTATGCTTATCAACAGCATTCAATATACTCCGATAATTAACACTATTATCCTTGTCATCATAATCATTATTGCCACTGAAATATGATCGAAAGTTTGAAAGCCAAAATTTCTCAATCGTTTTTTTAGGGCCAGTTTAAGCAGTCAGGGTAGTACAACGACACTAAAAAAGCCGATAATGTCGCTTGCTCAACGACAGATTATCAAAAGTTGTATGGATAACGCAAAAGACGATATAGCCGATCGGATATATCGGCGCATTTACGAAAAAAGAGATGACTTTAAAGCATTTGTGGACGCTTTAAACGATGTATAGTACCTTTTTTTCTTACTTTTATTTTTACTTACTTTTTGAACCTTCTGACAAAAAAATTTACAATTTGTTTGCTACTAATTTTTATACCCAAAAATTTTCTGTTGACTTTTACCAGTCGCAAGTTGACCAAAAAATAATGTTGACATCATCAATTCCAGTAAAAATTATTATTGTTTAATAGAAATGCAAATGTATTACTGTTTTTGATTATTCACTTTTTGTGATCTGTAAATTCAATAATCTTTACAGAATTATCATAAAAAGCAATCGGGTTTAATTCTGACATAAATATATTTATTTATATTCTATTCCTTTTGTACCAATTATTATTTTAAGCCTCACTTGTTTACTCTCTCTGATATTTTTCTATTTTTGTCTTTAAAAATACAGTTTTTCTCTAGACCAAAAAAATGACCGGAAAAATGACATAGTAGCTTCTTGCCGCAGTAAAAAAAAAATTTAATTTGATAAAAATTGATTTAACGCTTTTTTTTTGAATTTTATTTGTTTTAAGAAAAAGCAAAAAAAAGAGACTGAAAAGGAACATTTCTTGAAACAGACAAAAAGAAGTTTAGAAGACTTTTCTTTATGTTTTTCACTATTTAAACTTAGAACAGTCGTTAACTGATAAAACGTATTTTATCGGTGGCGGAA